AGGAAACACAAGTGCGGCGTATGTAATTTTGTTTATCCTTCCTATTTTGGCGGTTGCTTTCACTGGACCAGTGCATGTAGTACTCTCCAACTAGTACATCTCTAAATAATTCTTCATTCATTTATCCTTTTGCCTTTTCTCTCCCTTGAAAATAGCCAAGAAAGGGTACTAAATAGGACACTGTAGATACACCATAAAAGGACTTTGATTAAGGTAGCAGAAAAAAAAGAGGCAAAATATGAGCATGACATGTTTCTAGCATACAATGCTCATAAAGAATATCATTTTCAAATAAAGATAATTTGAAAAACAAGAAAACAACGAAAATGTTGTGGTATATCAAAAATGTAGTGAACGAAAATACTCTTCATAAGGAGGTATATGAAGTTGGACAGCTAACAAGGTAGCTACAAGAGTCTTGGTAGTATAGATACTTACAACGGAGTCAAGGATAACTTGAGTGTCAAATATATCTAGGAAAAGCTGCTTTGAGAAAAAAAAAAAAAGCATCTTGGAAATTACTGGCCTCGTAGATAATCATTGCATAGATTCTGGCCTCCATCCACCGATAAAGAAAATAGACAATCTAATTATTTTAATGCTTGTCTACTAGAAATGAGGGTCTCAAAATATTCAAGGAGTTCTAGCCATTTTGCTAACTGATAAAATGCATCTTTTTACTTCCAAACTATGTTAGAGGCTCTGCTTTGCTTTTTTTTTTCTGTGATTATTCCCAGAAGTAAAATCAATATTTCTTTACAAAACCTAAGATTTACTTCCAGAAATTAATACTACTTCAAAATCCATTCCCATTTTCATGAACATTAGGCAAATGATAAAGTCAACTATAGATATTATGCAAGTTCCACAAGGAAAGCAAATACTTCTTTTTTTCTTTATTTACTCTTTCGGATTACTTATAACAAGTGTAAAACCAGACCTCTTATACAGTTAATTAATAAAGAACAGAGACAAAATTGTACAAAAAAGAAACAAAACGGGACTGCCCGCTAGACCAAGGTTACAAGATTTATTTGGGAACACCCTCTTTGGTGAGGCTATCCATGATAGCATTGGCTTCATGCCATACGTGTTGGGAAGACACCTCAAGAGATTTAGTGGGCTCAAAAATATTCAAACACTAGTTTTAGTCTCCAAGCGCAAATAGAAATCCTACTAGCCCAATTGATTCCTAGTTTTGTTTTGTACATGATACATTTGTATATGTCAGTGAAGTGTATTCCCCCACGCTGGATGTGGTCCACCATGAGAGCCTTTTTGCTAATCAATAACCAATCTAGAAGCTAGGTTTTGGGCTGGACTGGGGAAAGCCATACCTCGCTGGCAATGGCAGGGGAAGATCACTTGGCCAAAGCTGCTCATAGAAAGATGTTCTGCCAAAAAGAACCCTGATTTAGCTGGCTCCTACACCAGCATGTCCCTGCCATGGTGAGGAAGGAAATTTGGATTTAGGGGTTAAAGCACGATTATCAGGTCTCAGATTTCATCATTGGACAGTTCCATTCTAAACCTCAGATCAAACAACATGCCTAAAGAGAACTTTGTTTGCATCCGAGACATGACAACTTCGGTCAGCTGCCACTGGGAAGATGATAGAAAGCTTAAGGCAAAGTAAATACATTTAGTAAGAATATAATGGTTTCCCTCAGCCTACAGATTCAACTCATCTTGGAACAGTAGAAACCATAATATTCATCTTGAAAAGTTTAGGCAGTATGCCATGATACAACTTGTATCCATTCAAAGCACAAAAGAACTCATCAAAAGACAACATACCTAATTGTCTCTGTGAAATGATGGAATATCATATACAAAGGTGAAAGAATTTATTTGCAGTGAGCTCCAACTGCTGAGGCATGGCTCCCTTTCAAGAGGTGGGTTCATGAAGTACTGCAATCATCCATAATCCATTAGCTATGGACCCTTCCTTTCATAGCAATCTGTTGAAATGCTTCACCATCAACTTAAGAGGATTGTCGAGTTTTTATACTATAACCAAGTCGGTAATGGCAGAATGCTTTTCCCATGGGTTGCATTGGTCCACCCTCAAATTGCTCTTGCATGATGAAAGTTCATTAAACAATTGTGTTGTAATAGTGCTAGAGGGCCCAGTGCTCAGGGGCCTTGAGTTTCATACATAATCACTGTTAAACTAATGAAGACTATCTTCAATGGGAGCTCATTTGGTTTTCTAACACATTTAACATGATAAGCAGACAATACTTAACATTGCATGTATAGATGTATTTATTGAATACTGTCAATTTACATCCCCCTTGCGCATCTAATGTCTAACTTAACTATTGCAGTTGATGATTTGGACTTGAATAATGTGTAGACTTTAGGGGGTGTTTCTTCCCTTGCAATTGAGAAACTTTTATGTGGTCCTGCCACAGGTTGGCAAATTCAGTTTGTCACCCAATAATTAACTAGGGAATGCATGTGAAGATAACTTTGTCAGCATTACTGGCTTCGGTAATTCACTGCATTCTTTATTTCATGTTAAAATTGTGCTTGCAGACTTTACCTTAAGGTGCTGCCACACTAAGCAACATAATGGACCAGGAGACAATTGCAGCCTGAGAGGTGTTGCCTTTGCAGCATGCTGTCATCATCTTTGCCAATGGAAATCTTACATGAGTAATCCCCTATTCTTTAGTATACAAATACCTTTGATCCTTTACAATCTGGTTCTTGTATTGTATATATCCTATGAAAGATACACAGATAGAGAATTAGCATTCTATGAAATCATAGGATCATTGCTCACATAAGCATATGCATGGACATGTAATACGGAAATATCTGAATATTCATTTAGAGCACTATTAAATTATACATTTAGAGCACTATTAAATTATACATTTAGAGCACTATTAAATTATACATAATTTATTGTGCACAGTTCACAGTTAATGTGAAATATGCATAGTTCATAGTTCAAGTGAAATGAACCAGAATTTTAAGTTCCCTGTAGGAATGAATTGCTTCATTTCATGGCTGGTTTCTCCTTCTTCTTTTTATTATTTTTTTATTTAAAAAATATTCATTTATTTCGTGCATTATTTTGTGAAGATATTTCATTTAGGAACCCCGTTCTTTTCGGCAATTGGCTGGAATATATAAGAAAAAGGATATCTGTTTTGGGAGTCAATCTTCGTCCAGCGGCTAGCTGTGCCCACTTGCTTTAAAAGAAAATTAGTGACCATCAAATAAGAATCATGACCAGTTTTTGGAAGAACCTTCTTCAAAGTGTAGGATTTCTATACAATATGGGGATATCCAAAGAAGGTTTCCATACAACTACATGGTTCACCAGCTGGGCAGTAGATCCAGACCGCCAATTTGATTTCTCAGAAGCAACTGATCAGAGCTTACTTGTAAAAACATGGTAATTTATTACTCTTTCTTCGTGAAAATGAGTTTAAATTTCCAATTTGCTGCATTATATTATCTAAAAACTCTTGGTTGCCACTTGTAGTTTCAAAAAATACTAGGTGCCCTGCTTTTTTAGGAGGTTTGAAACAGCTAAATATCCTGTAAGAGCATAGTTCCTCATTTGAAAACTAGTTGTTGCATGGTTTTTGAAATACAGCAGCCACAATTTTCTGTTTGAGCAGGATACCTAATACT